CCTTCCTGAGTGCAGTTGTGTCCTGTTAACCTCTGTGCAGCGGCATTGCTGCGTAGGGCCTCTTGCCCTGACCGGCTGTGAGGCCTAATGTAGTAGTCCAGCAGTTCTGGATCACTTCCTTCCCCACTTCCTTCCCCTCTGATAAATTCAGCAATGCACCTGCTTTCAAGAGCTGGGCCAAATTTCCCTCTTCCTTCCTCCGGGGCAAACCAATGCCCTCTTCACAGTAACACATCCCCCTCCTGCCCCCAAGCCACCCCTTCAGTCATTTTTCTCTCTCCCAAACAACTCCTGCCCTGCCTTCCTGTTGCTGGGACCCCTGACTGACGCTACCGCCCAGCTGGGACTGTTGCCTCCCTGCTCCGTGCTGTAACAGCATCCCAGCCTTGATGTTTCTGCAGTCTGAGGCCTCCTGGAAAGGGATAACTCTCTGACTGGGAGATGCTGTTCACCTTGGTTTTATCACACCTGCAGACATGCTGGATTATATCTGATTTAACTTCAGCCCATTCAGAAAGCTTGCCATTTTTTTCCAGCCTGTCTTCATTGGTGCCAAACTCCTCTCAGAGGGTGGGAGGACCTCATCCTGCCTTTAAATATTTTGGCTTCATCTGCCTGAATATAAATCCTGGCCCTGAGTTCCCTTTTGGGTCTCTAGGCCTTTTTAAAATACTTCTTTGCTCTACATCCAAGCCTTCTCAGATGACTTTTTATATTTTGGATTTGTTTGTATTTTTGCTAGGGTTTCATTTGAAGGTTTCCTCCTGGCTTGGCATTAGTTCTTGCAAGTTACATCTGCTAAACAGACGTCTGCCTCCGCCTCCTGGTCACGAAGGCCAGAGATGTTTCGTGGTTTCCTGCATCGTTCAGAGACAAGCACGGACTCAAGTGCCTAAAGGGTTCCCGGGGTTGAGGACAGCAGGGTTGCTCCAGTGCTCACTAGGACTCAGACCTGCTCTTGACATGTGAGTGAGGAACATGCAGCATTGGAAGACTTCCCCAACTGCTATTGGCTTTGTTCCTTATTGTGCAGCACAATCCTGCATTCCTCCCCTCAGTAACACCTGGCAGGTGTTTGCACGTGCCCCTATCACATTACCTGGTACCCAGTGGTGTGCGGTTAGCCAGGCTGACCAACACATCTGCCTGGAAAGGCTCAAGGTCTGAAGAAGGACCTGGGCTTTCTTCTCTCTCTTTTCCTCTAGGGTTTAATTGCTGAGCTAAGCTTCTGTTAGGCATCACTGCTGCTTTTGGGGCAGAGGTCCCAGCCTCATGCATCGTTGCCTCTGGGCTATTTGAAATGAACAAAGAGTACAGATGTGCTCAGCAATGACGGAGGAAAGAAACCTCTGTGGGTGAATGCTGGTCCCTGCTCACCCAAGCGTAGGGTTCCCGCTGTTCATGGTGCAAGTCTTGTGCCTTGCTCATTGCTGCTGCTGTGGCACTGGGCCAGGTTAAAGCAGAGATCACTCCTCGCTGGATACCATGTCTTCTTGTGCCACCTCCAGGCTGTTTTCCTGAGAGGGCATTTCCCTCTGGGCTTTTAGCTCTGCTGATCTCACATCTCGTGCTGGCCTTTGAAATGTTTCTCTTGCAGTTGCTGGCTCCTGAACGATGAAGCAGTTGCGACCTCCTGTGATGCAGAGGAAGGTGGACCTGCCCTCAGCTACCATCTTGCAAGAAACTATTTGTCTCTGTATCCGACAGAGGCTGGGGTTGTGCAGAGAAGGAACGTCTGCTTACGGGGCTAAAGGGGCTGCTGGGTGCCTCCATCCCGTAACAGCAGACACTCCCTGTTACAACCAGCTGACATCCTTTAGGATCTTGTAGCTTTAGCCCTGCTGATACAAACCTCCTCCTCTGCAAAAAGCACTTTAAGTGGGAAGCACTTGGCTCTCCCAGGGTACAGGCTGTGTTTACAGCTCTGCAAATCTCCTGTTGCAAGTATGTGATAAGAGATGGTGTCTCCTTTACTCTCACAGGCCTGTAGGGGTAAGGAATGGAGGCAGATAAGTCTAGGGACAGAGAGGGAATAGGGTCCAAATTCCCCAAGTGTAGTAGGCTGTAGCCATGAAGATGATCCTGCCTTTTCTCCTACAGACCCTGTGGTTTTGTGTGCCCCCAGCCACGCTGGCCACAGCAGAGCCTGGCTCTGGGATGCAGGGAGACAATGGTTTGTGGATGTTTGCCACAAACAGAATTTGGACAACTGGTTAAAAAAGGAGACAAAGATGCAGCTGTAGTGATCACAGTTGTTTAAGGTCTGAACCGGGGGAGATAAGAGCAGCACAAGGTGAGAGGAGAATTAATCCCTGGCAAAAAACCATATCTGTGAAAATTGCATCTGATGACACTGAGAAAAACTACTGCAGAGCTGCTGCCGTTGCCTGAACCTACTGAAGCAAGACATCGGACTAGTTAGCTAGCTACCATGAGAAACCTGCTGGGCTTTTTGGGCCAGATCCTTGTTTTAGTGGTGTTATTTTTACCTGAAACCATCTGCAGTGATCTCGAAAGATTCACTCAGGAGCGGGGCCAGGCTGATGTGGGTAGGAGCAGATGTAGCTCTGTGGGTGGTGAGGACAAGCGCTATTGTGATAAAGGCTCTGCCTCTAAAATAAATTGTAGATACTGGGGAGAGGGGAGAATATCCATATCTACACAGACCAGAGCTTTTGGGTTATGTCTGTTACGTTGAATTAGCTGATGATCACAACGGTAAACAACCTAAGAGATGAACTTGACAGCTCTGTTTGAGTTTAATCACTTAGGGCTACATTTTCTTCCTGCAAAGATGTTGAACCCCATGGTTCCCTCTTACCCTGGGAGCTGAATGTGCAAGGAGTTTCACCCTCAGATGTTACCTTTTGTGCAGAAATGTGCAGCTGTGAGACACCTCTCAGCTCTCTTGTATTGCCTGTGTGATGGGTGCCAGCTCCCTCGCCTTTGGCTGAGGCGGGATCCAAAGTGCTGGTGAATCCTGCACGCCCTTGGTGTGTCTTTCCCCCATTGCCTGGCCTGTGACCTGCCCTTTGGCTGCGTCCCAAGCGGGGAGGGGTAGGAAATCAGAGGGCTGCTGGGGTGTGCCAAAACCCTGTCAGTAGATATTCAGCCCTGCCAGGGCCCTAGTTCCCATGACCCCAGAATAAAGCCAGCCAATAGTCCCTGTTAACTGATGCTAAAGGGTCCCCCATGTCTTCTTTCTTCCTTCGGTGGCTGTTTGCTTCAGGAGGCTGGAACTGGAACCAAGCAGGGCTGTTTGATAGTCAAGGATGATTTGCCATCACCGGGTAGGTAACATTATTTTTAAGATTGTCCCTGATCCTTTTGACTCAAGGACAAACCCTGACGTTATCTGTAACTGAGAAGCCATGTTACAGGGGAAGGAGGCCTGATCCTGCAGACTTATGTCCTACTGATGCATAGTCCACATGGGATCAGAAGGCAAAATCCACAGCCAGTGCCCACCAGCCAGCTGCCACCCAGCCAGCAGTAGGAGGAAGCCTGAAGCTTGATTTCAAGCTGTGACAGCTGCAGGCAGGGGTCAGGGAAGCAAACCCATCGTCCTAAACCTTCTGCTTAATGCAACCATACGCAGCTACTGGATCTTCCCATCTTCTGACAGCAGCATCAGTAGGGGAATCCCAAAAGGGTGAGAAACCCCTTTACTGTCACTCAAAAAAAAAAAATACGGGGGAAGGAGGAAGGACTTTGAACACAGGGCATCTTTTGTGCCTGCAGTCGGAAGCTGCTCTGCCAGTTTGTGTGTGAGGGGACACTGATATACACCCGACTGGTTTCTGACTTGGAGACAGCACTTCTGGAAGCAGGGATGTGCTGGCATGAGCAGGCTTTCCTTGCCTGCTTGCTCACTGCTTGGCTCAGCTAGCAAGTGAGGGCAGGTGCACGATGTTGCAGGCTTGATAGGTTTGTGGTTTCCTTTCTCACACTCTCACTTGCTGAGCTGGTATAGCTCACTGAGGGGAGCCGATGAGGCACGTCGGTCCCCTTGCTGCTCCTTGTTCCCCCCTCCCTGGGCTCTGCTCCCCCTTTGCCTGGACCTAGGGGTGGGACAAACAAGGAGTAAGAGGCCGCAGCCTCCTGTTCTGGTCCTGAGCCTTGGCCCCTGGCCCTCTCAGGTGGATGTGCTTGGTCAGACCTATATTTAACATACATGTAGTCAGGGCCCAGAAATATTTCCCTAAATATAGCTGTCTCGATGCTGACTGCTTTTTCAAACGTTTCCAGCAAAGTTTGTCTCAAAAGGGACCCAGCGTCGTGGGCATCCTTAGGCAGATGGGTGTGCTCCCTTGGGAAAGGACGTTTGCAAGCCGTTGTGCTGAGAAGGGGAGTCCTGCTCCCAGTGCCAGCGTGGCATGCTGTGCTCTTGCCTTCCACCCCATTAAAATACCTGCAAGCTTCATGCTGACTTGGGGCATATGCCAGGAGCTTTAAATCCCTTTTTGGGAGTTTGAACCCAAAGCAGCTCTGTGCCTTACTCCTGCAAGCCTGTCTCACGCCAAGTAATCCCACGCTGTCTGTCTTTTTTTTTTTTTCCTTCTTTTTCTTTTTCTCTTGCTGAACTTGCTGGCTCAGGCTTTCTTTTGCCGAGTGGTATTTAAATATTGCAATGCATTTCATAGCTCACCCCACCTCTTAGACCAACAAAAGTGAGTCTGTTAGAATTGTTTCTGTGAAGTGAACATTTTTTTTCCTTTCTCTTTCCTTTTTTTTGGAAAGCATCCAGCTTGTACTGGAACTAAATCCTTCAGCTGGTTTTATGTTTTAAGGTGTTGGTGGGGGAGGGATGAAGGCGAGGAGATTGTACAAGAGAAGAAAAAAAAAAATACTGCCGGATTTCATCTCCTTTCCCCCAGTGAACCGTTGTCCTGCCCCGTGAAAACAGCAGAGAGGCAGCCAGCGGGGAGGCGAGCGGGGCCGCGCAGGGGCAGGGAGGCTCGGCGCAGAGCGAGTTTTTGCAGAGACAGCTGGAGCTCGCGACGCGGTCAGGATGTGACATCACCGACGGGGAAAAAACTCTCGGCCGAGTGTCTTTAATGAAACGCCGGCGAGGGCCGGTGCGTGCCTCCTCTCCCCGGCACAGCGCTCGCGCCAGCGAGGTGGAGAAGCGATGGGGCGTCCGGAGGGGGTCTGACTGCTTGGCTTGCGGGGTTTTTTTTTGTTGTTTTGGTTTTTGGTGTTTCTTCAGTAAGAGAGCAGAAACGGCAGTGAGGGGATTGTGCTGGAAGTTGGACCTGCTGCGGGATGAGGTGAGTGCTGGGGGCGGAAAAAGCCTTCTCCTGTCGGGGTGTCCACTCGGCTAGGGCAGCTCGGGGTCTCTCGTGCGTCTCACTTGCCAAAAGCTGTGGCGCAGCCGTTCGGACCTAGGGCGGAGGGGCTGCTTTCCTGACTTCATTGCTGAGACGGGGACGGTGGCGGGGGCTTTGGCCACGGAGTGTGTGAGGTGGCTTCCATGGGGAAGGGCAAATCCTTTTCCAAGCGAGCTGGGCTCCGTGTGGCTCTGGGGACAGAGCAGTGCAAACTTTCCAGCAGGAGAGGCAGCGCGCCCCGCTCCGCGTCCTGGAGCACACTCATGGGGTGGTTTTAAGCACAGGTTGGACACAACCTGGCCAGGGATAACCTGGGAAGAAGCAATCTTTCGCCCAGATAGGGGATGGACGCGTGCCAGAAGGCTCTTCCCGTTGTGTCTGGTCAGCTGGTGAGCACGTAAATACAGAAGGATCCTATTTCTGGCATCCGGGAGGTCTGGGAGCACCAGCCAGCAGGGCAGGGATTAGTGCAGATGGCACGCTGAGCACGGGCAAAGGGGGGAAACACAGCCCTGGAGGGCAGTGAGGAGCCCAGCCGGGAGCGAGTGGTTTGGACAGTGACCAGTCGGCTCATTTGCGACTGCCTGCAGGAAATGCCAATTAAAATTGCTGCCCTCGTAACATGCCTGACTCAGTGGATGCTGGAAGTGGCTTTGCCAGTGCCTGAGGGAGGGCAGAAAGTTCAGGGCAGGAGGGAACTGGGTCAGAGCGAGCCACGAAGCTGCGTTTCCAGCAGCTTGCTTGTCTCCTCTGGTCTTTTTCCTGGAGCTACCAGGCCTCGAGCCCCCAGTGTTTGGGATTATGGCTTTGATTAGGGAGTAATCGCCCTTGGGACTGAATCGGAGTGTGCCAGCTCCGTGAAGGCTGTTGGACACCTGTTTGCAGGGCTCCAAGCAAGTCAGCTGCAGCAGCAGCAAGATCCCAGGTATAAGGTATCCTAAAAATTCTCTGGCCCCACAGGACATCACTCCCAAAATTAATTGGATGTGCTTCCCCCTACCAGGAGAGAGGAGGTTCAATTTTCTGCTTGGAGGCTTCTTGGGTGACATGGGGAAAATTTTTTGGTGCCTTTTGGCCTGGCAATGAGTCTCATCCTGGGCTTCCCCAGAGGGGGCTGCAGGGTGAAATGCATCCCCAGGCCCCGTTCGACTGCAGTGGTCCCAGGGGAGCTCCTGGTTTGCTGGTGGTGCAGCAGGGAGGTAGGACAAGGATGGTGTGTGAAGGGAGGGGACAGTGGGGCAGGATGGGGGTGAGCAAAGGTATGAGCAGTCCTGTTCCTGGAAATCATTGGGGGTCAGTTTTGCATGAGATGGGGATTTCTGAGTGTCAGGAGAGCCAGGGGAAGCACCAGCACGGCTCTGCTGGCGGCTGCCCAGAGTTGGGGCGCGGGAGCTGAGGCTCGGCTGGGTTTCGGAGCAGGGTTGCTGCGAAAGTGTGTGCTCGGGGAGCACCCTGAGGATGCTTGCGCCTCTCACCATGCTCGAGGTGCGCAAATTTCCCCAGCACCGAGCTGCTTTATGCTGTGTTTGGGGTGGTGAGACATGGCTGGAGACACAGACATGCTCTGCATTCATGTTGCCTGCTCCAGCAAGAGCCCGGGGCCTTCTCCACAGCCTGCCGGTCTATGTGCTAGCCCTCAATCCCCTTCCCAGCACCTCGTCTTGGCTTCTTTCCTGGAATTTTCCATCGTTTGGGTTATATTTGGGACCAGCAGCCAATAACCCCGTTTCTCACGGACAGCCCAGCTGGGGCTTGGCTCCAGCACGATGCAGAGACAGATCGGCCCTGCTTGAGAGGGCCAGTGCCTTCTGAGACCAGGCTTTCCAGCTTCTTAATTGCATGACTCCCCCTTCCTGGGGTGATTAAAACCAGACCTAGATGTAGTGAAGGCTGGAGAAGAGGGGATACATTACCTTCCCCGGGAGCACCACGCGCCCAACAGCTCCCAGTTAGGCTGCGGCTGGGTTGGTTATGATGCAAGGGATTTTTGGAAGTGGCAGGCTCAGTCCTTGGGACACTTCTGATGTACTTTCAGGTCCTCCTGGTAAAAGCTCCAGTTGCACGGATTCTCCAGGACAGATTGAAGATTAAGTAACCAACACTGCTTTACCACAGGACTTCTCAGGTGTTTAACATGAAGCTCAGAGACAGAGCTGTTGAATCAGGACCTGGGCAGTAGCGGTTCCTAGAGTACTAAGAAGAGAGCAGAGCCCCAGGGCCAGCAGGTTTCTGGTCAGACTGTCCACCTGGAGGCTGTCTGGCAGTTTTAGGGCTCTGGCAGGCAGTGTCTGAGCACTGTGAGGGGATGTGACAAGAGGGACTTTTGTACTGACTGCGGAGGAGAGAAGGGAACCCCCTAAAGCATGAAACTGGAAGTAAACATCCGGGCAGCTGAACCCTAGATCTGCCTTGGGAAGTACAAGGACGAGGGGGAATGTGCCAATATCTTGTTTTTCAACCAAATTGTATGGAGTGTTCTTGCACTCAGCAGCCTGGAGGCGCTTGGATCTGCAGCAGGGGCACGGAGACGGACAGACAGAGGTCACAGGCCAGTTTTGCCTTCATTGCTTTGAGCCATCCCTGGCTTGTGCTGATTGATTTTTCCCCTGGCCAGGGTCCATTTTCCTTCCCTGGCAGCGAAAGGGGCTGCGATCTCTCTGTCTCTCTGAGGTCTCTTCCCAAAGCAATGGCATTCAGGAGTCTCTTTTTGCGGTTTGCTCGCGGTGCCGGACCCTTCATGGCACTCCCCCCCGCGCACACCAGCTCTTCGCACTGCCTGCAAGGTTTGGCCTGTGCCGCTAAACGGCTGCCTGTGGTTTCAAGTCAGATGCTTGTGCGAGTGAGTAAGTGTCTCGGGGTGAATCCAGCACCTCAGACTGCCCCCGAGCTGCACGCCGTTCCCGGTGCCAGGCACGTTGCCTGCGGGGAGGTGCCGCCGTGGGAGCCTGCCCTTCTGACTACCTTCCACCTTCGAGATTTCTTTTCCCGTCCAGTAATGATCGTTACCGTTTCCCAGGAGCGCTCACAAAACGCTTTCCCCCGAAAGGCCAAGCCTTTGCTTTTGCGGCTCTTAATACAGGGTTTATACTGAAATCAGGAAAGCTGAGGCACTGTGCAGGGACCGACCGGGGGCATCGAGGACTGAGAGGGAGGGAGACCTTGTCAGTCACGCTGCACGTCAGCAGCGCCTCTGACTGACCCTTCCAGCTGGGATTTTTTTTTTTTTTGACTAAAGCTAATTTGGCATCAAAAATGCAGATTTTAGTTGGTGACCTTGTTTGAAACCTGGTGAATTGTTTGTGATGGGGAGAGGAAATTGCCCTCCCTTTTGTTTTGCTTGTTTTCCTTTTGTTTTGCCAATTTCCAAACAGACCTTTCAACGTTGTTTTTAATTTAAAACAAAGCCTTTGTTTTACAGAATTCTTCTCTTGTTTCCAAAGGATAACACCTCTGTGAAAAAAAACCCTCAATTCTGAAATTAAAGGCTTGTTTTGACCCCAAGTTGACATCTCCCCTTGACCCCCCCAGCTCTTTCTCTGTTTTTTCTGGAGTCGCCAGCAATCTAGGAAATCGCTTTTTTACATGTCTCTGCCTGTTAGATCCCCGGTAGTCGCTCTGCCTCCCCCTTGCTCTGTTTAACCCTGTCCTGATTTGGCTCTTGCTAAAGCCGACGAGTTTCGCTTCTGCTGCTGCCGGTAAATACAAGGCCCCAGCCGAAACCAGCAGACTGCAAACCAGCGTAAGGAGTTTTCCTTCCACTTAGCTGGGCTTTAAACCAGCTCTAGGCAAACCTGAGGCTACTTAGCGCACGCAGATGGGGGCATGCACCGAGCACGCTGCGGCACGCTGGTCCCGTGGGAAG